TATTCCCCCTGGCCCCCAATTTTTTTTCCCCAAATTTCCCCCTACCCCCCCCCCCCCCTCCCCCAATAACCACAATTTTAAGCGGCTTCTTCTTCATTGACCAAATGTAGGTGCGCATTTCCCTGACCAGTGTAAGGGGGCACTTTTATGGCCACCATTGTTAGGGTTGTAACCCTAACACCAGTATTTTTACTGTCTACATTTCTGCCCATTCATTTTATTACTGAAAATGTTGTGTAAAGCAGGCCCTGGGTATCGCATATGCCAAGTAACCTATTCCTTATTCTTCTATCTCAACTTACTATTCACAATACATTTACCATGACTTGAGTAATTATTGGTAGGGCTTCCAAGACACATGGAAGTCATTTCCAAGGGTTATTAAGGTTGCGAGAGGCTGGTCTAGAGCGCTCAGGGGTACGCAACTCTGGCCCTCCAGCTTGTGATGCAACTACAAGTCCCATGAGGCATTGCAAGACTCTACAGCCATAGGCATTCTCAAACAATTCATCCCCACACAGCTACCTCCTCATGTATCATTTCCCCCTCCTCTTTCAGATTGTAAGCCCTCAGGGGCAGGGCCCTCCTCACCATCCTGTCTTGAATTGTATTGTAATTGTAATGTCTTCCTTACATTGTAAAGCGCTGCGCAAACTGTTGGCGCTCTATAAATACTATGTAATAATAATAATAATAATAGGCAATACTCCCAGAGGCATGATGGGATTTTGGAGTTTCACGACAGCTGGAGTTTTCCTACCCCTCGGGTAGCTGTTATGTTCTACATATACAGCGTGAGAGGACATGCATTCAGTATTCTCAGCATTTGGAATAATTCCCATTTCAGGGCTTGGACAGTCCCGAGCAGCGATCGTTCCGGGAGAGGCAGAAATACTTTGAGATGGACATGAAGCAGCAGCAGGAGAATCGTCCCCCCAAACGGGTGTCGCTGGTCGGAGAGGATGACCTGAGGAAAATGAAGGAAGAGGAAGGTGAGTGGTGCTATATTTTTTTTGTTAAAAAATATAACAACCTGATTTCAGTTTGCGCTCCAGCGGGTGGAGATGATTTGTGTTACGGTTTGAGTTCCTTCTTTTTCTCTCCTGTCCATCCCCTGACTACTTTGCCTTTTTCCTGCACCTTGCTCATAATGCCGTCTCATGTCTCAGCCCGCAAGATCCAGGTAAAGCGACAGCAGCTCCTGCGGGAGGAGGGAGACTCGAGTCCCCGGCCCGTCGCACCCAGCACCCCCACCAGCGTCTTCATCGAAGGGGTGGAGTACAAGATTGAGCGCGTGGACGGAGGAGGAAGCCTGTCCTCCCTAACTGGGTAAGCAATGGGCACTGCAAAGCGTTTGGGCAAATTCAGCCTGCCGATTAGGGAGGCCTGGCAAAATCACAATAGCTTTCTAGTGGCAGTGATCCCAGTTCACTCTCACTATGATGGCTACAATGAGAGTGAAAACCAAAGTGTATTTTGTTGATAAAGTTTGTTTGGCAAACTAAAAAAATAGAAAAACGTGCAGTACACGCACATACACATGATTTATTTTAAAATGCTGCAAGTACAGACAAATGACTGCCAGAAATTCCCTGAGGTTCTAAAGTCCTGTAGTGAACTGACAACGCTGCCTCTGCTGCACTGATATGCCAAGCAGTGTTGTCAGCCCTATGTCCTCCCCTGCTGCGGTACAGGGTACCCCAACCCAATATGTAGATGGGGGGATGGTATTTTGTAGTTCAGCAGAGGAAAACTCTGCTTTCAGTGCAGCCGAGACACTATGTTGTCAGCTCACTACAGGAAGTTAGGAGCACAATGGATTTCTTACAGGATCAGCAGGTGTTTTTGGGAAAGTGTGCAGGTATTGCAGAGATGTACTTAATACGATTTTATGTTTAACCTTCCCCCCCCCCATGCCAAGGTCCTAGGTGTCATCCTTGACCCGGACCTCACCTTTCTTCCCCACATCCAATCCCTATCCAAATCCTGCCGCCCATACGAAATACGCCCCTTCCTCACCAATGACACCGCAAAATTACTCATCCACTCACTTATCTCTCGTCTCGACTATTGCTACTCGCTCCTCATTGGCTTACCTCTACACAGGCTCCTCCCCCTTCAGTCTATCATGAATGCAGCTGCTAGATTCATCCACCTAACCAACCCCTCAGTGTCTGCAATCCCTGCACTTGCTTCCATCCTCTGCCAACCCCTGCACTGCCTTCCCTCCTCTGCCCCCCTCTGCCAATCCCTCCACTGGCTTCCATCCTCTGCCCCTCTCTGCCAATCCCTTCACTGGCTTCCATCTCCTGTCCCCCTCTGCCACTCCCTCCACTG